GAGCAAAAGTCTTTCGATAATCAATTACATGTTTGAAGCCTTTTGCTACCAGCCTGGCTTGATGGCAATTAAACTTCCATTTGAATTGTATTTGATGGTGAAAATCGACCTACAGCCCACAACTTTCTTCCCTATGAGCAAATATGTGATTTCTCATGTCTTACATTTCTCCAAAGCATTAAATTCTTTTGGGATATCACTTAGCAGAACTCAGTGCTTCATCTATATGTTGGGTATTTTTTCATGAGATATAATTGCCAACAAGAGCACGATAGTGAGGACATTACGCAAAATAAGTGTCAGAAATCTTCAACTATCTTAACCCCAACTTTAGAAGCTGTTTCTATCAGCCAGAGTCACGGAAATGTCATCATTACGTGGGGCAAAGTTTTCAAGGTTGAAGGGTTTATTCTTCTTGTGGTCAATGGCTGTAGAGTCAACTACCCAATTTACTGTCGTGAACCCTGGAGTTTAGAGCCAGTGATAGGGTTACTTTTGTTAGCAGTTAGTCTAGCAACGTTACTTCTGGATGGCTGCTGTAGTTGGCTGCCAGTTAATTTGTGTGGCATCTCTAATCGCCTTATTAATTCTCCTGTGACAACTTTTTTTGGCTTCTAGTGAATGGTCTTATTTCTTTAAACATCTAATTCTCTCAAGTAGACATTAATTTTTTCCTTAATGCATTTATATTTTATTTAGAAAACTTCTGTTTTAGATGTTACTAAGAAACTGGGATTGTATATCCCCTGATAATATTTTGTAATAGATACTATGCATGGGATTATCGAGTCTTGAGAAAATTCGCTAGACATTATTCAACTGGTGAAGAAATCCCTCAGAAGCTTGTGGAGTCGATGCAGGGTGCTAGAAAAATGTTTGCTGCAACTGAATTGCAACGCCAGGTGTTCTTCTCTTCCTGTTTTGTCATTTCCTTTATGTCCTGGTGGTATCCTTAATGTGTCATAATATGTCTGTGAGGAAGAAAAGGAAAACATTAACCTCATGTAATTTGTTCAAATTTCCCGTAGATCTTTTATGCCTTAGTTGACCAGAGCCTTCATGGAGAACAGTCATTTCCTCTGAGAGACACTAGCTCTATTGTTGCTGAATTGAAAAGGGAATATACTAGCTGGGAACATGTGGAAGGCACACATTGGGAGGCCCGATTCAGTCATCTTCTCAATTATGGAGCAGGTTAGAAATTCCGCTGAACCCTTGGATCATGATAAACCTTGAAGGCTTGAATCGTGATGTTAGCATATCAGCAAATTAATGTTATTTTTTATCGACCTATGCTTCAATGTCGAAGGTTGTACAAGCTTTGCTTCAGCAAAATTAATGTTACCTCATGTTAAATATTCCAATTTCATGCTTCAACGTCGAAGGTTGGACAAGCTTTGCTTATCATTTGTGGGATAAATCTCTACATTACCCAATCCTCCGCAATAAGTGACTCTGAATCTGATGTTTTGACGTAATTAAATTTTTGTGAAGTTTCAAATCTGATTTGATTGTCACCTATGCATTTTCACCTCAAGTCTTTAATCATTAATTTTTTATGTTGATCTTCTAGTCAGTGGTCCTTTTAGCCATGAACGAGCGCTCTTATTCAAAGCAAAAATATATACATTCTCCAAGGAGTCTATCCGAGGCCCAAATGAAGAGTCCTTCAATCATTTATGCCGAACTTCTAGTTCTCTAAAATACTTAGCCAATTCTGTTTTCTTTTTCTTTTTCCTTTTCATGCAGGATATTATAGTTACTTGTATGCCAAATGTTTTGCTGCTACTATTTGGAAGAAGTTGTGCCAGGATGATCCACTATCATCAACTGTTGGAACTGTTTTAAGGACAAAATTCTTACAGCATGGAGGAGCCAAAGAACCAGCTGCTATATTAAACGATCTTGTTGGGGATGGGATTTATAGGCAGTGTAATGGAGGCATCATTCCTGATATTTCTAGTCTATCTGATGAAATGGAACTGACTGTAGAATCTCAGTCGCAGGCCCTTCTATTGTAAGTTGAAATAAACACTTAAGATTGAAGTCTTTGGCGTCGAGGGCAGAGATAGAAGAGACTTGTAGCAGAGGCGGATTAGGATTTTTGTCTGGAGGATGACAATAAAGTCCCAAAACTTGAAATATATGAGTTACGACAGTTAAGTCCCTGACAAAATGTTTTAAAAAAATATGTTGCAATTATTGATTCAAACAGGAATATTAACCACAAACTGATAGTTATATTTATTTGCGGTTAAAACTCTTGAATTTATGATTATCTAAATCAATATTTACAATTGATTTTTCAGAAAATTTTGTTAGGGACCTACTTGTTACATATTCATTGTTTTGAGATTTTAACATCATTTCCCCTTTTCATTTTGTAGGCTTATCATTGGCTATTTGAAAAAGTAAAAATTTTGTGGATATCAAGTTTGTGAGTGAAGCCTGGTTTGTTTTTGTTTGTTTGCCTTTTTTTTTTTTTTTTTGGCAGGGGAGATTCAGTTTGCTGATGGAGATGAATTCATTCTGAGTTATGTTCTTGGGGAATTTCATTCATGGGCTTTCAAGATAGGATCTGGATGATTTTTGATCTGATCTTTATAACTGAGTAGCAGTGGAGGATATATGTTGTCTGGACTCTGGAGTGAGATCATATGCCACCCCTCAGCTTATTAAAATTTGTTAAGTGTATAATTTAAAATTTTGATATTATGTTATAATCTTTGTAATTTTGAACCCATTTAGCATAATAAATTTATTGAACCCATATATTTGTTTAATACTTTTGGTATTATAATTTAAACCCTTTAAATCTAGACATGTGTCTTTTTATTATTTCTTTTATTTTTCATTTGTCATTAATTTTTAGTTATTTGCCCAACAGAAATTGTCGTTTCCCATTTTCAAATAGTCACCGTCCTGTATATGTTACATTTTAATGCTGAAAAAGATGGTAAAAATTATAGTTGGTAATTTGGGTTAAATACCCAAATGTGTTAAAAAAAAAAAACCCATATAGCAAGCTGACTCGAATATTTAAATTTTTAAATTCTATTTTATTTTATTTTTTTATTTTAGTAAATTTCAATTTTATCTTAAAAAATTAAGATTTTAATTTTATTTTATTAATAATAAAAAAGAATTTGAATATTGAGGTTAAGCTTATTCGAGTTCAGGCTTAGTTTGAATTTTTTTAACTTATTTCGATGGCCATAAAAAGCAGAGTAAAAAAAAAATTAATCTCAAATTTGATCTTGAAATTTTTCATGCTTCTTTGGGATGGTTTGAATTATCAGTTCATGGAAAGGCAGTTGTAATTTTTTGTTGGGTGAGAAGTCATTCCTTATTATATAGTGATTGGCCTCTATATGTTAACATTTTATTGATGAAAGTAAGGTGGAAAAGTACCTGTAATCTGTTATTAAGTTTCAGTCCTTTGCTTAAGAGAACTTGTCATCTTCTAGTCTTAAGTAGTCACTGTCGTCCATATATTTTCATCAAAATCAATGTTAGACAAGTCCATAAGGACTACACTCATGTATTGAAAACCGGATCGGACAGGTCGGGTCAACCCAGAAACCGATAACTCGATCCCTTGTCCGGTCTGGGTTTACCCTTAACCCGGTGAGGGAGTGAACCGGCGTAACCCGGTCAACCCAGGTTCAACTCGATTATACCGGATTATTATTTTTTCAAACTTTTACTCCTAAAATGACGTCATTTTTTATTTTTTTTTTCATTTTTAATTTTTTAGAGCTCTAAGTTGGAAATAAGATAACAAAAAAAAGTAAAATTAAAGTCAAAAAATAAAAAATTAGAGGCAAAGCATGCTAAGTCCAAAAATATAATATTTTGTTATTGTTAGACTTTTGAGTGATTAGATTTGGTTGAATGTTTTTATAATTAATGTCTTTTTATTTAAATTGTATTATTTTAATCATGACCGATTTGCCACCGATTTAACCCCGATTGAATCACTAACCCGTGACCTAGTGTCATGACCGGTGCAATTTTACATACCTTGGACTACACAATAATTGTCACATTTGGTGGATTTTTTTTTCTATTTGCATATTTTAGGAGTATTTTTTTGTTTTGTCATTCTCTCTTATTTTTTGGTTGAAAAGAGTCTATTTTGTAAAAAGTTATGTTTGTTTAAAGAGAAAATATCATTGAAGGGCTCTTGAAAGAATTTAATATCTAACAAATAAAGTTTTAACAAGTAAAATTTAAGTTTAACAAGTATCTAATTCATTTAGGTCCTTATTAAATATTAAATTCTTACAAGGATTCTTCCTTCATTGATATTCTCTCATGTTTTAAACTTTTAAATATAATCATAATACATTAAAAAAGATTTTTGATTTTTTTAAGATGTTTTGAATATTTTTTAAAAATAATTTGATGTGATAGATAAGAGAAAATATTGTAAAAATATAGATATACATGAAGATGTCATAAAATTTTAAAATAACTAAATAATAAATTACTTTTTATAAACATAGATCCTCAAATATATCATAAATCTAAAAATCACTAAATAATAGTAGTTACTTTTCATTGTGGTAAACAAATATAAAATAATTTCAATTTTTTTTTATAGAATCTCTACAACTTTTTATAAAATTTCTAGCTAAATTATCTAAAAAAATTTTATTTATTAATCTTAAACAAACCTTTCCCAAATGATTCTAATTTATCATTCATCACTAGTAGGCAATTGAAAATGAGACAAAGGGCAAACATGCTTTCGGTGCAGCCAATTAACAATACAATTTACAAAACAAAATAAAAAACACAATATTTTATGAACAACTTTGAACCAAGAAAAATATTGGCAGTATTTTAATTTTTTATTTATGTGTGTAAACATATAAATATTATTTTTTATTTAATTATTATATGATCAATTTGACTTCCAGTTTAACCGGAAAAATATTGGCAAATCTAAATACTCACTGTTAATTAATACAAACACAACCTCAAATACTTCAAAATTAATCATCATCGCTAGTAGGCAATTGAAAACGACACAAAGGACAAAAATGCTTTCGCTGTAGCCAATTAACAATACAAATTTTATGAAACAAATGAGAACAAGGCATAAGAACAGCTTCTTCATCAACTTCGAAACCTTCTAAGCAAATCGAACAATCATTATTACTTAACCTTTCATTGATCTCTTCATCAATCTTCACTTTCTCCAGACCTTCAATGGACGATTTACTCGCGGGATCCAACAAAACATGATCATCGTCGTCGTCATCGTCGTCATCGACATCGACATCGTCATCATGTTCATGTTCATGTTCATGATCATTATCATACCAGATGATATGAGCGACATGAAGATCAACTCTCAAGTACAAGTACTTTTTGTTTCTGTGTGTATTATCAATCATGTTTCTTGCAAAATCCAAGATTTTTGTCGCTGCTTGGCTGCGAAAGTTTCCATGAATATCAAAACTAGAAAGTATAGAGTCTATTTCTTTTTCTATGGAGCTCTTGGAAATGTTGAAGAAATCAAATCCAGAGGAACATGCATGAACACAGGTTCTTCTCTGGAATACCCAGTTGCTTCTCTGAACTGAAACATTGAAATATTGATCATCGGTAGGATGATCAATAACGACACTCTGATTGTAGGGATCAAAAGAAGTACTCATTACTGTTTCTCGTGTGGAAACTAAACACTGGAATCTAACAATATCTTGATGATGAGGATCCATGAAATATACAAATTAAAGTAGAGAGAAAATTAGGGTCTCTTGTTCTTGATAGGCTGAGAGGATATTAGACTCCGCACGTTCGGTGGAGGAAAGGAAAAGTTAAGAGAGTTTAAGAACAGAGAATAAGATACTAAGGATTCGAGGAGTTTTTATAAAGGAAGAGATAAGAGGAGTGGAAAGATTAGGATTAGAAGACAAAATATAAATAATATAAAATATAGGAATAAGTTTTATTTATAAATGGATAAATTTTTTATCCAATAGATTATCTTAATAGATATTAGATAAGAATTTAAACGCTAATTATAAATAATTATATAAATAAATCAAACTTCATATCTCATTTTTAAAAATAATTTATTAAACTCCATAAGTATAAGAGAGGGCATTGATACACACACTCCCTCAATTCAAAAATATAAAGTATTTTTTGAGGGGTTGAATATTAAAAAATATAATACATTTTTTAGTTTTTTTAACATGTAATCATTGCATTTAGTTATTTTTTTTTAGAAGTGTTTTTATTAAATAAATTACTTTATATTTATTTTAGGGTGAAAACACTTTATTAAATAGGAGTAAATATGAAAAGATTAAGTTAGTTTGAAAATAAGTAATTACTTTTTTTGTTGTTGTTGTTGTAAGATTTGGTTATATATATATATATATATATATATATATGATGTGTTAGCCATTTAGCTGATAAGTTCGGATAGAAGGAAAAAAATTGACGTGATACTCTATTTCCTATTCAAACAAATTTTAATGAATACTGAAGAATAACGGTAATCAAAATTTTAAATACCGTTTTCACAAAAAAAAAAATCTTAAATACTGCTATTAAAAAAAGGTTTTATAATGTCATCAAAAAAATGTTTTACAGTATTATAGGTTCGAAACTTTATTTTTATAAAATGTTCATTTTAAAATTATCAATGATTCTATTTGGAAGCTAACAAAGGCCTATTTAAATAATAAGAATGTGATTTGTGTCTCATAAAAGTATAGGTTTGAATTCCATTGTCAATTTGAAAATGTTGTTAATGGATAATTATTTGAGAAAAGAAAATTTATCCAAAAAGAATTAAACCATGATCTTTAGAAAAAAAAAAAGGCAAGAAGTAGTAAGATTAAATAAAATTATGCAAATTATTTCCCTACTTGAGTGACCATAATTATTTAAATTATTTAAATATTATAAAATTTGTATTTGAGAAATTATGAGTCTTCTGTTAGCGTCTAGAGTGTCATTATGTTAGTTTCTTGCTAAACGGCCTAATTGCACATTTATTTATTTTTTTATAGACATGATCAAAAGTTACTATTTAATCTCTTGTGACAAAATTCGTAATCTTATTGATAGTAATAAGAAGAGGGTGGTTCTTGGTTATATCACATAAGTGTGAGACCTTTTAAGGAGTTAAAATAGATATTAACTTTAAAGAATTTATTATCCTAACAAAGGGTAAGACCTTTTTATGATACTCAAGAGCTAAGTTGCAGTATTGGAGTAATACTTGATGTTTTTGTCATTATCACATATTACGCCCTCATAAGAGGTAGCTTCATTGATATTAATTAAGCCATCAATGTCAAGTATTGTCTAGCAGGGAATCTTTTGCTTGAAATATACAATGTTCCAAAGACATTTTTTTGAGTCTTGATTAACGATTGAGATCATTAATAATGTTTTGGGGACAAATGAAGGTGATATCTCTATCAAGGAAGTCACTGTCAAAATATATTGTTTTGCATCTTTTCTTATGTTCCAATAAATATGGGCAAAAGGTCTTTGCCAGGGTTCTTCATACACACGATTTCACAAGTCACTTCCACTCCTCCATGACTTCTTCTTCCTTCTTAGGTTCGCCATTTCTTAAAAGTTCATAATCACTCCTAATCCCAAAACTTTCTTTATAAAAATTATTCTACGTGATGGGAGCTTTCTAACAGTATGAATATTGGGGGAGCAAAGCAAGTTTGAAGACTAAGGCTAAGAGTAAGTATTGAGTTTCACTAATCGAGAACCGTAAAATTATTGAGGAAACTAAGTACTTAAATTTAATCAATTTAGTTTGTTGAATAAGGATGAATTTTTACATCAGGGTATGTTAAGATTGAGCTCTAAGGATAAAAAGTGGGATTTCAATTTTCAGAGTTAATTATCACTTGAAACTTTGATAATTGATTATGAGTAACTTAGTCTGGCAAAAAAAAAAAAAAAAAAAGATTATGAGTAACTTAGAAACACTTCTAGAAATTGATTGTGAGGTTGAATAACAAGTTTGAATGGTTTTTGAGGTATTTTTGGTATGAGTAATCTGAATATTGTTTGATTAAAAAATTATTTTGGTTAAGATTTTTAAATAATAAGGATCTTATATTTAAATTTTTATAATAAATGGACATGACTTGAGTTACTATTTAGTATTTTTTTTAAACCACTTTGAAAAGAATTTTTTTTTACTTGACTAAAATTGAAAATTCAAGGCCTCCCATTAGTTTTTTGAAGTGATTTGAAATTGAATAAATTAAAATGATACAAATTAATAGTGGATACAATTAATTGGGTAATTGCACGCTTAATAAGTTGAAGAAGGGATTTGTCATTTTAGGTTACCTTGACAATTGTGATTGTTAGAATATTAATTGTAGTATTTTGTTTACTTATACTGCACTTTGCTCACAGTTAAAATTGATTTGCTTAACATAAATGAAAATGATAAAAAAATAATGCTCAATTATCAATTAATTTGATTTTATACAAGACCTTAATTTATTACATACTATTTTAATGATCCATACACTTGCGATGTCTATTACAAAAAGGATTCTATGCAAATTCTCATTTTGTCTCTACTAAACTTTCAAATTATTTTATCATCCAATACACAACTCTCACAATTCACCTGCAATGTTTTCACTGCACTACTTTTCTTGTAATGATTTCTCATTACATATTTTGGTTTACACTATGCTCCCAGTTTGTTTAGAATTTCTCTTATGGCTATGTAATAGCTTTTACTAGCTCTATTATTATAAGTTAAATTATACTTTTAGTCCTTTAATATTATATAAAGTTTTGTTTTGATCTTTTAATTTTATAAAATATCTTTTAATCATTTAACCTTAATACCGTTAGTTTTAAATGCTATTTTTATACCAATCATTATTATTTTAAAAAATTAAAATTAACATGTTAATATTTGTTAATATTTTGTCAATATTTAAAAGTTTGATATAGGAAATTTTTATTTATGAAATTAACAGTGTTAAGGTTAAATGACTAAAAAAATAATTTATAAAATTAAGAGATTAAACTGAAACCTTATATAAAGTTAAATGATTAAAATTATATTTTAGCCTATTCTATAACACATGTCAATCTATATAATTATTCCTCCTCTAATCAATCACCATTATTTTCCTACAACATACTTTCGACTCGACGATCTTAATTTTTCTCCCATGACATACTTTCACCCAATAATCTTAACCTTTTTTCCAAACACGTGCTTTTACCATTAAGATACAAACATCTTTTCTTAAATCTTACTCTCTTCTTTTTTATATATAAGAGAGAAAAAATATATCATACAGTTTAAGAAAGTCCTTTAACTATAATAATTATATGTGAAAATAAAAAATTAGACTAAAATACTCTAAGTTAATCAACATAAACATTTGTTAATTATTTCTTGTTAAAGTAAATTATGAGAAGTAATTTAGAAAATATGCAATAAATATTTATTGAAATAGGTGATTTTTCTTATAAAAAATACAAGTAAAAAGTAGTAGTTTCTTTAATAATAAAGAACTAAGGGAGTATATCACAAAACTCAATCATCATCATATATTGTCCAAAAAAAAAATAGTTTCTCTTGCCTTAAATTGTTTTCCTAACAAATCCACACTACCATGTTGAAATTCATAAAGGCTACTTTTTTAAGCTTATACTCTCATTCCATTAATATCACAAGAGGTCTTTAAGAAATTTCTACCTTTAGAATTTAACTTATTCATATCATTATAGAAATTAGTACTTGGATTCCCAAAAGATCATTACAATTAAAACATCTCAAGCTTGTTCTTAACCAAAAAACTTTCAACACAAACCTCTCAATTCAGAGGAGGCATTACTCTAACCTAATTTGGTATGCACAAAAATGTTTATGTGCTTAATAAATGACAATATCATAATTTTTTTCAGCATCAACATTAATCACCCAACCGACGTCTTACTTCTAATCTTCTCATTTTTTTTAACAAGTCAAAAATTCGTAAATGTCATAAGTTTTTAAAAAATTTCTCCATACAAAAAATTCATGGCTCAAAAAGCATTTGATTTATTTTTTTTTATATTACTAATCTACTTTCTAATTTTTAATTAATGCTCAATAATTTTCTATGCCTCAAAATTCCCTTCCTATGCCTCAAAATTAGCTATAATTAAATTTTTTACCTTGTTTGTTTAAGATTAAAAAATAAGTAATAATTTTAGATATTTTAAAAAATATTTATTTTATAGAGATTTTATAAAAAATATATTATTTTATGTTTTTTACAATAATAAAAAAGTAATTATTAGTTAGTTGTCATTAAATTTTATAATATTTTTCTTGATTTTTTATAAAATTAATTTATTATTTAATTATTTTAAATTTTTTATATATTTCGTATTTTTAAAACATTCTCTTTTATTTAATACATTAGAATATTTTGAAAAACTACTCAAACTAACTTTTTTAAGATAAATATATATTTTTAATATTACAATTATTTTTAAAAGTTTAAAGAGATAACAGAAAAATTCATAAAATATATATTTTCTTTTCAAAAGATAAGTAATTTTCAATGAAACAAAGGGCCACTAAAACCTAAGATGGCCTAAGATCTTACATGTAGCAGTCATTAAGTACAGCAAATAAGTGGGAAAAAAAAATCCACATGGTCGAGTGAAGTGAGGACGCAAGGAGGAAGCCACTAACATGGATAAAAGTAGGGTTAATGAAGAAAAGGCCCAAGAGGGCCCAATTCTGTTTGAGTGAAGTTCCAAGGATGGGAAGAATAACAGGGAAAGAAACGAGCCCAATCAATCAGGACAAAATTTTTAGGGAAAATAGGAATGAAAGATCGAGAAAGAAAATTTATATTAATTAAACATTAGTTATTATCAAAATTTAAAAAAAAAAGCTCAAATGAATTATTGTTAATTCAAAATAAGTTATTGTTAAAATCTGAATGTATATTTGTTGATAAAAGACTAATATAGGTTGACAAGTATCCATTTAAGTTTTGACAATAAATAATCTTTAATTAATATAAATTCTTTTCAACAGTTCTTAATTGATATTTTTTCAAAATTTCATGATGCATTGTGAGGAGAAAACAAATGACAACAGTCCAAAGCCACGACGTTGTGATGCCTCATAACTTCGGGCTTGGGGACTCAAATGGAGTACATGTCATGGAGCCTTAGTATTTCACAAATTGGAGAGAATGTTCACTGTTGCACGCAAAAGAAGAGGACACATAACTAATTAAAATTGATGTAAGTGGTAAAGGCTCCTATCACTTAAAAAAGTGGTTGGGGTTTGAATCCCAGCCATTATGTATGTACTAATTTAGTTTGGAAAGGTCTACCTGTTATTCTCAGTACCTCAAGAGAGATATTTTTTGTTGTCGGCAGAGTCTACTCCTTATATATATTTATATATTCTTGAAGATGTGTATGGAAAAGCAACTTCGTAAGTCATTTTTTTGGCAGAGTGAGAGAGGTTATGCATGGGAAGATAACTAATAATGTTTTGGTCCTTATTGAAACCCAATAAGTTAGTGGTTCGAAGTCTGATAGCATTGTTACGAAACTTGGCTTTAGTCATTGGCTTAGACTTGAATTTACTGAGCATGCTGACTGTATTTGGCTACTTTGGAAGGAAAAAGAAATTAAACTTGTATAGTTAGCTATGATTTGTCTACTAGCCAACTCATCCATATGCGTATTTGTGTGTTGAAAGGTAATAAATCTCCTGGTTATCTTGCACATACAAATGCTGACCCTAATTAATGCTTACCTTCATAAGATCTTTACGATGATATTTGCTACTCGAGTCAGATTGTTGATGACCCTTGGTTGTTGGTGATTTCAATGCTTACTTATCTACTGATGACTGAAAAAAAAAAAAAAATAGTGGCTCCTCCTAATGATATGTCTATGAGACTCTTTGGAGATTGCATTCAAAGGTCAAATCTTCTGGAGAGGTTGATCAAGCAGGAGATAGAATGCAACTTGGTGAAAGAAAGAATTGATCGGGTTTTCTTTTCTTTTGTTTGTTTTTTTTTAATGAAAAAAATATCTTTAATCAAAAGTGATTACAAGCTAGTTAAGTCTATCAGGTAATCTTTTTTCTTTTTTTCAACATCAACCACTTTAATTAAGTAAGATGGTGGATTGATCAAAGGTAATATAACATACAAAATCATTCTAAGCTTGAATAGCCAACAGATGAGCACAAGTATTGGCTTCCCTAAACATGAAATTCAAATGAATGTTTCAATCCCAATAGAAATAAATTCTAACCTGATTGATAATTTCTCTGGATGAATGATGAGTAACATCACTTATAATAATTAGGTTGATCGCCTCAGTATAATCCGTGTAGATTTGTACATTGTAAAAATTCCTTTCCCAACATAAATGAAGACTACAAATAACACTAATTACTTCAAAAATAGTGGGGGAGTAACTGCTTATATTCACGCTAAAACTGCATACCTAATCAACACCTCCACACTTACCAACCCCATCTTTAATGGATTGGGGTTTCAGTAATGTGTTCTTGGATAATACTTCTCTTACATAGGTTCACCATCTTCCTAAATTTGGCTATGATCATATATAGACCTAATTTTGTCAGATTGGACTCTGATGCACGGATCCAAGTCTCAAAATCTCAATTCAAATGTTAAGACTGATATTGTTAAGAGAGCCTGGAGTGCTAATAAATGGGAAGAAAAATTAAGCTCTTTGCTAATAAGGAAGCCTCTTAAGCAATGATTCAAAAGTGGGGAACATACCTCCCCCCCCCCCCACCAAAAAAAAAAAAAAAGTGGTTTGCTTAAAAGAATTGATAGTGTTTATAAGGCTATATCTATAAGAGACAGTAAATACCTGAAGAAGATTGAAAAAGAGTTGTGGATTGAGTATAACAAGGTGTTGACACAAGAAAAAAGAAGAGCACATTTGGCACTAGAAATCTAGATGCAACTAGTTAAAAATCGGGTGATAAGTATAGCAAATTTTTTTCATGCTATTACTATAACGGACACAGCTAATGATGAGGATGAGTAAGTGCCCCCGCTCAACTTTAAAAAAAAATTACAAGGAGTAAGTGGAATTTTTAAAATTTGCTCACTAAAATATATTTGAGTTTAAAAAACTTGGGTCTTTTATATTTCATGTAAGTTTAATAGATTTTAAATTTAGATTATTTTTTTAAGATAGTGTCATTTTAGTTTTTCTTTTCTAATATTATTTTACAAAACTAAATGAAATTATTTTAGAATGAGACTTTTTATATTTAAAAATAGACATTTCAAGCTTTTTGTGAAGTCATGACTTATATTTTTTGGAAGTTGATATAATAAATTATGAATTTTTAAAATTTATTAAAAATATTTAAATATTTTCATCCGCAGGCAGATATAAGTGTTTAATCCGCAGAAAACAAGAAAGAAGGGGAAGTTACCTTAATTTTCTTTGAATCTAATTGGTTGGATGGTTGGATCCAATGGTATCATAAATTATATAAGAATGTAGTTGTAAAATACATTTGAATCTATACTTTAGATCAACACAAATAATATAATAATGGATCAAATTTGGCAAATTGATTTAGATGGTGATTGGATTGATAAATTTATATTTAACTTTTGATATGAAATTTAAATTTTACAATTTTACATTTAAAATCTCATATCTTAAATTCATATATTTAAATTTTTTTGTTTATATGGTATACAAAATTTTAAAGAAATAAGAAAGATGAGCTAACATTTAAAATAAAAAGGAGAGATTAAAAGTTATAAGCTCATCCAAGATTATTAAACTCACAAGATTAATTAGTAAACTTGTGACAGGAATGTAAATTTAAAATGTAAACTTGGATTATAAATTTATAAGAACTTGCCTTTATTAATAAATAGCTTTTAAAAGTATATGGTTAAATAATTAAAATATAAAATATGATCATAATTTAATTTAAATTAAATATATTTTAAGCATAAATTATTAAAATTAAATCCATCTATATTTATAAATTATTATATTTAACATAGAAATTTTAAAAAAGAGCAATTTATTTTTGACATTTTTTTGTTTTCTTTTTTTATTAATATTAATTTTTTTGTTTTATTTTTTATTGAATTGGGTCCTACCACTTGTATAAAGCAAATTTTACATAACATGCTCAACTAATTTATGAGCGAATTGGCATAATTAATAAGCTAAAAATGTAAAAATAATAAACTCAAATTATCAACTTGTGAGTTTAACTAAATTTTATTTAATCTAAATTTATGAGGTAGTTAACATGATTTTATAAATTAAAAATATAAAAATAATAAACTCAAGAAATCAACTTAAAAGTTTGACAATAATAAACTCATTTTCATTCTTAAATTGGAGGAAAAGACAAGAACAAGAGATTAAAGAAGAGATAAGAGTGACAAAGACATCAATAATGAAAACACAAAGATTGAGCAAGAGAATTAGAATAATTAAAATTTTAAATAATCAGAACATAGATGAAATTATAAAAAATAAAAAATTGCAATAAAATGAGTTTGGATTTGAATGAAATCTAAATTTACAGATTTTCTATATTCAGATAGAATATTTGATTCCAAGTTAAATCCAAACACGGGCTAATAGAAACACAACCTGATAATTCATATTAATCATCATTTATAGGCAATTGAAAACGACACAAAGGACAAACATGCTTTCGCTGCAACCAATTAACAATACAAATTCTGTGAAACAAATGCGAACAAGCTATACGAACAGCTTCTTCATCAACTTCAAAACCTTCTAAGCAAATCAAGCAATTATTATTACTCAACCTTTCATTGATCTCTTCATCAATCCTCACTTTCTCCAAACATTCAATGGACGATTTACTCGCAGGAACGAACAAAACATGATCATACCAGCTCATGATACAGGCAACATGAAGATCCACTCTCAAGCACAAGTACTTTTTGTCCCTGTGTGTATTACCAGTCATGTTTCTTGCGAAATCCAAGATCTTGGTTGCTGCATGGCTGTGAAAATTTCCATCAAAGATTAAACCTAGAAAGTATAGAGTCTATTTCTTGCTCCATTGAGTTCTTGGAAATGTTGTAGAAATTAAGTCCAGTGAAACATGTTCAAACCCAGGTTCTGCTCTGGAATACCCAGTTACTTCTGTGAACTGAAATATTGATCATTGCTAGGATGATCAATGAGACTCTGATTATAGGGATCAAAACAAGTACTAATTGTTTCTCGTGTCGAAACTAAACAACGGAATCTAACTTCAACATCATGAGGATCCATGAAAGATAGACAAACTAGAGAGACTATTAGGGCTCAATTTCCTAGAAGCTTATGTTTATAGCAATTTAGGTAAGAGAGATCTATCACTTACTCTCGATAGCTGGGGAGATAGTTGACTATGTTCTTGGCGGAGAATGTTCCTTGGGTAGAAATTGGAAGTAGAACAGGAATAATTAGAGATTTTATAAAAAAAAAATTACTGAGAATAATATAGTAATTAAGGATTTGAGGAGTTTATAAAGGAAGAGATCAAGTGACAAGTTGAAAGATTAGGATTAGAAGACAAATAAAAATATAAATTTGCAAAAAAAAAAAAGAATTAACACAAAAATTAAGAATAAATTTGATTTTTAAATGGATAAATTTTTTATCCAATAGATGATCTTAAGAGATATTAGGTGTGAATTTAAACGCTGATTATAAATATAAATAGATATATAAAAAAATCAAACTTGATATTTATCTTTTTTTTTATAAATAATTTATTAAACTTAAGCATAACTATAAGAGAGTATATCGATCTATATCTATATATGATGTGTTAGTCTATTAACCATTTAGCTGATAAGTTCAGATGAAGAGAAAAAATTGATTTGGTACTCTATTTCTTATTCAAACAAATGTCAAGGAAGAGTAACAAATTTGGGTAATCAAAATCTTATACTCCGTTAAAATATATATATATATATATATATATATATATCTTTGCAAGTTCTAACAATTTTACTTAATTTTGAATTAAATCCCTACAGTTCATTTTATTTTAATCAAGCCTTTATAATTTCATCTATTATATATATTAACCCCTGAAATTTAAAATTAATAATGAATTATTAAATTTTACAAAAAAAATACTCTTGCAGTTTGCAAAAAATTTAATTTAATAATTTTAGCCAAAATCATAAAAGGAAAATTTGATTTTATCTGCTGTTTATATTTTTATTATAATTTTTTATGAAAATACTACATGTATAAAAAAATATTTAAAAGACAACCTAATTATATAAATTTTGAGTTTTAAAAATTATGTAATTAATTCTAAAGTCATATAATCATTTAATAAAAATATAAAAGTTCTTAATTTTGTTTTTTAAAAGAAAAATGTAAGGATTTTAATTTTCAAAGATTAAAAAATTTAATTGGTTAAACTACAAGAGCTCAATTAAAATAAAATAAATTGCAAAGATCTAATTCAAAATTGAAAAAAAAAAAGAATTGTAAGAACCTACATATATGTTTTTCCAAAAAAAAGGAAAAATTATTGCTAAAGACATGAAAAAAAATATTTATTAGAAATGATATTAAAAATAGTAATTATTTAGAAGAATCAAATACCAAAATATAAAATTTAATATGCAAAATTGTCCCTAATCAAATATCTTACATTTTCTCTAATCACATTTCAAATTGAATTTGACAATTACATTATTGGCACTGGTAAATAAAAAAATAATACTGAAAATCAAAGCAAGTGAAAATTTTCTTATGCTTCGAAGATCACAAATTTGAATACACAAGAGGAGTTATGAAATGTAATAATTTTTAAAAAAATATTTAAATTATATCTAGGCCAAAAAAATCTTGTGTTTAAAAAACATGGAGCAAATGTTCAAAAATTGAGAATATGACCAGTTCAGATTGATAGATAAGGAATTTATAATTAAATTTTAAAAAATTTATGAAAAATTTATTGTTGATATACAATAATATATTATTAACAAATATAAAAAATCAATTATAATATAAAATATAATAAATATTGAGCTATTTGCTTAATTTAGTCCTATAATATGGGCTATATTTACAAAAGCTCATATATTTTTATTTAATTTTTTTAAAGTAATGATTTTAAAATTATATTCAATTAATTATTTAAAAATTAATTATTTTTAAAATATATTGATTCAATTAAATTTAATACTAGACTTTTGTTTTTATTTATGTCGAATTGAAATCCGCACAACTTTATTTTTAAAAGAATTTCTTTTACAACTTATACAGTACTCCACATTAACTTTGAAGTATTATTAACAGGTTTTATATTAAAGTTATAATAATCAACTATACTTATTTTGGTCCTTCAGCCTAATTTTAATTTTTATGGACTTTTAGAATAAATTTTATCAATATTAGATCCCTCTCTCTAATTTTCTAGAAAAGAAAAGAAATCTTAAATACTGTTATTAGAAAGGTTTTATAATATTATAGGTTTAAAATTACGACAACTTTATTTTAATAAAACATTCATTGTAAAATCATGAATATAATTCACATTTAAAAAAAATTATGAATATAATTATGTTTGAAAGCCAACAAGGGCTTGTTCAAATAATAGACGCTATTCATGTCTCACAAAGGTATAGATTTGAATTTCGTTCACGAGTCCTAGACTCCTAAAACTTAAATGATCATAATTTTATTTGTGATATTTTTTTAATATCAATTTTTTCATAAAATTTCTTACCTGTAAAAATTAAATAGATCAGATCATATATCATACATAACTTAATTTGTCATTTAATATTAATATACTATAAAATTCGCGCATTTTTCATTAATCATGTATCCAAAAGTACTTTTATTAAATGCATTGGCGCAAAATACATACCTGACACACAAGACATACCCCTGGGGGGAAGGGGGTGGGGGTGGGGAACGTTCTCTTCAATCATTTGGAAGAGCATAACTACTGTTTGGGAATACACACGCCACATATAAGACATATTCTTTCTGAACTTATTTATAAGTTATTTTTACTAACCTCATCAATATCAATATAATAAAAGTATAAAAAAATAAAAATAAGTGAAATTTTAAATATAATCCTCAAGTAAAAAATAAAAAGTAAGTCAATTATATAATATTATTTTTTCTTTCTTTCTCTCTCTTACTTTTTAAAAGTAATTTCAGAATTTCAATTTAAAATAAAACAATCCCATTAACAAATGACTTATAAAGTAAATCAGATTATGCTTCTAAAAAGTGACTTATATATTGGGCCAGAGGAGTATTCTTGTAGTGATCTTCATATTTTGATCTGGATTAGTTTGGACCTTATTAAATCATCACAGCTCAAGTGAGGTAAGCCCAGGTCACACAAAATATATATTTACACGCACAAAGGAAAGAAAACTAAAGGGAAAGAAGTAGGGGAAAAAGGCATTTTTTTTTCTCCTAACATAAAATTTTTTCTCTAATTTTTCTGGTCACCTGAGAAAATTAAGAGAAAACAAAAGGTAAAAAATATCTTTTTTTCTCTATCTTCTCTCCTAATTTTCTCTTCTCCCTATTTCCTAACGAAGCGTTAATTCATTTTGTTGAGAGGCACTCTTCTCAATTAAATTCCAGGGATAAAGTTAGTGATTTTATCCAACCTCTTGGAGTTTGGAATGTGAGAAGTTTAGTAGGAATCCTGCCAAGATGGGAAGCAAATATTTATGGTCATTAGTTCAATTATCTCAGAGGATTAGTGGCAATTTTTGCCTTCTTGTATAAAGGGAGTGGATAATGGTAAGTGATCTATGTTTCGCAACCATTAGTTTGTAATTTCTTTTTTCGGTAGTTGATTAATATAGTTTTTGTATTTATTTCAAAAAAAAAACCCATGGGAAATGGGGTTGATGTTTTACTTTGGAGACCATCTTCTGATGGTAGTTTCACAGTGAAATCAGCACATAAATTCTTACAAAGGCAGCATTGCGGTCAATCTGATTCTCTGGGGGGGTAAAAATTTGGAGGTGGCCTGTTTCTGAACAAATGAAGTTCTTCTTTTGACAAGTTTTTCATGAGTCCCCATACTCACTTAGAGCTAGAATGATTATCTCAAGCACCATTAAGTGCTCCAATAAGTGTAATAGTGAGGAGGATATTTTACGTATACATTGTGAAATTGCCAAAAGTGTTTGTTTGCTAACTATTTTAAATCCCAACAGTACTTTTAGTTGGAAAAATATCGATCAATGACCAATAGAATAAATTTATATTAGTTAAAGATCAATTATTATCAAAATCTAAATAAATATTTGTCGGTTCAAGTTATTTTTTTGTCAACAAGTATCTATTCAGGTTTTAACAATTCATTCTAATATAACAATAGTTTATTCGGACTTGTTTTTTTATTTATATTTTAACAACAATTGATCCTTAACTAATATAAACTTCCTCCAATGGTCCTTCATTGCTATTTTCCCTTTCTAGTTTATTCTGTGGAGATTTGCAGGTATGGATATGGTGGAATACAACATAGAATTCTCCAAGATGTTTCAGTAAGCTTCCCTAGATGGGAAGCTCCTTCGCATGGGACTTATTATAACTTTTGTTTAGATGGCAAAAAAAATAAGAAGGAAAATTAAAAGAGAAAACTCCTAAAAATAGAAAAAAAAAACTATTTTTTAAAATTTTTCCTCCTAGTTTTCTCTCCTCCCTATTTTCTTCCCACTTTTTGTTCCATCCAAACCAAGCCCCAAGAGCACATGTATTTTATTGTAACCTTAAGGTCATACAAAATCTACAAATAATCATTATTCATCATTTTAGTCTATTTTATTCTCAATCACCCTGTTCTATTCCAATCAAATCCTTTCCGCGCCATGAATCTTTTCACAACTTGGTCCTGGCTTTTTCTATACCTCCCTTGACTCCATATACACCTTGCAATGACCTTGGAAACAGATACACATATGCATATATACATACATATATACACATATCAATATGCAAGCACCACCCACTTCATTTTTCACTGTCCTCTAGTGTGAGTTTAAATCAGACGAAAGTAAACATAAATGTCTTAGAAGCTATAGAGTCCTCAAAACAAATCGATTTGGAACCGCAACAAGAATTCTATAATCATATGCACATCTTCATGTTAGTCTCTGCAACATCAGGTTAGTAGCTCTCCTATGAGGCATATGCTAAGTTTAAGTCTTCAAATGGTACCTGAATGGGATAATGTAAATGACTAAATGTTATGCTGGTGCAATGCCTTACTCAACAGATTAAAAATGAGAATGACTGTGTAATAAATCAAGCACATAATTAGTATACATGAGTCAAAATTGAATACGAAAACGTACCAAGACAGAGAGGGTTGACCAGGAATCTTCTGAATCCACTTCTCAAAACATTTTCCTGACATTTAAATCTTTCCAATTTCAATCCAACTGGGTCCTGGTTTTTCCTTGAGATTACTTGACTCCATCAGTTCTCTTAAGATTCCAAACATCATCCTGAATCCTGATTAAAAAATATACATGTTATGCTGTGCCTTATTCAACCAAAGAAAAATGAAGATCACTGTTATAAATCAAAATGATAAATAAGATCAATAGGCTCCAAGAAGCACAACGAGATGGACTATATATAGAGAATAGGACAAAATCAGGTCAAATCAATATGCTTAAATAGGCACAGATAAAAAAAAAAAAAAAAACATACCGAGACAGCCATACAGAGAGGGTTAATGAGGAATCTTCTGAATCCACTTCTCATTCACCAACATTTTCCTCACATCTAAGTCTTTCCAATTTCAATCCAACTGGATCCAGGTTTTTTCTTTACATCCCTCAACTCCATCAGTTCTCTTAGATTCCACACGCCATCCCAATTACTCAATCCAGCAAACATGTTAGATAATACAACATATGTTGATGGGTCTTTTTTATCTTGCTCTATGGCTCGTACTGCAGCTAGTTTCCCAGTTTCTACATCCCCATGGATCTGACACGCACAGAGCAATGTTTGCCACACTGGGGCACGTGGTTCAAATGGCATTGTTAGAATTAGGTCCATAGCTTCTTTTGTAAGTCCAGCTCGGCCTAGGAGATTCACCATACAAACATAGTGATCCTCTCCAGGGGAAATTCCGTGGTCTTTGGTCATAGAGGAGAAATACTTCCATCCTTCATCAATAAATCTACCTTGACAACATGCATAAAGAACACATATGAAGGTGATATAATTTGGTTCAACACTTCTCTTTCTCATTTCATCAAACATTTCAAGAGCTTCTTTAGCTTGCCCATTTTGTGCACATGCCATTATCAATGTTGTCCATGAGATAACAGTATAATGTTTCATAGTTTGAAAAGCCCACCATACACTATCCATGCACCCACATTTCGCATACATATCAAGAAGAGCATTATCAACACAGACATCAATGTCATCTCCAAGTTTTATCCTCAAGCCATGAATTTGCTTCCCTACCTCTAGTGATGCCATATTAGCGCAGGCATTTAAAGCAGTTGCCATGGTGAATCTATTTGGCTTGACACCTACTTTCTTCATTTGTATAATGACTGCAAGGGCCTTTCTTGGCTCCCCACACTGTAAACATCCGGCGGCCATCTGGGACCAAGAACACACATCTTTCTGAGGCATCTCATCAAAGGCTTTAAAACCTTCAGCTAGCTTCTGATTTTTTATATACATATCCACCAGAGAATTCCCTACACAAATTTCATCCCCATAACCACTCTTGATAAGCTGTCCATGAACTTGCGTACCCAATTGAAGATGAGACAGGGCAGCCAGCCCAGTGAGGATGGTTGTGAATGTGAAATTATCAGGTTTAATACCCTTGTGATTCATAAGATACCAAAATCCAGGAATCTCCTTGAAAGAAAACTGCAAGTAACCACCCATCATGGTGTTCCACGACACGATATCCTTCTCTGGACAGCTCTGGAAAACCTCCAAGGCTTCTGTCAATTTTCCATGCCTTACTAAAGCTGTCAAGAATGCATTCACTAAAAAGACATTTGACTCAAATCCTGATTTCACAATTAATGTATAAATTTGGTGAGCATGAGTCACACTCTCAGCTAATGAGCATGCTTGAAGAGCACTAACCATTGTGAACTCATTTGGTTTTGTCATTCCCTCACCGTGCATTTGCGCAAACAAAGAAAGAGCTCCCCCAACATACCCATTTTGAATAAAGCCTGCAATGACAGCAGACCAGGACACCACATTCTTCTGAGGCATTTCTTCAAACACCTTGAGGCCTCCAATAACATCCCCGCATTTAACATACATGTTAAGCAAATGATTTTGAAGAAAGAGCGATAAAGGAAGAGACCCCTTAATGAATTTAGCATGAATAGCTCTTCCACTAAGTAATTTAAAATTTTTTGCATATCCACGCAGTAGATTTGAGAAGACCTCTTCCTCTGCGGCCATGGTGTACACATTACATGATACAAAAGTTCCTCAGAAAGGTGGTTGTCCCGATGATAATTTTGTCCATTACATCAGATGTGCAGCAGATTTTAGTTACACCTACTACAAGTAGGGAGCCGAGAAAATTATATAATTCTGAAACATTGACTGCACTCGAACACTAGCAGTATACTTCTACTATTAGCCTTCGAAGCAGAATCAGACTACCCTCACTAAGAAAGCAACCACGAACGAGGGAAGAGAGAGAGAGAGAGAGAGAGAGGAGGAGGAGGAGGAGGACTCACCACGGACGAGGAAGCCGACGGAGAACCTCCGAAGCCCACGACGGAGGCAACACGAACAAGGAACAGCAACAAAGCTGCAAAAGGGGCTGCATAGAGTGGATTCGGCTTCTCTAGTTCTCTCGACAAGCATCACCTACACACGGTGCCGTTTTCGATTGTGAAGGTGACGTCGCCGTCCATTTTGCTTTGAAAATCTCAGCCATATATTGCTGAATTCCCTTAAAAAAAGAAAAAAGAAAAAAACATTTTTCTTTTTTTTATAATAAATATACTTATTAATTAATTTTTTGTAAAGAGAAATTATATAGCAAAGAAATTAATAGTAATTAAGAGATATATTTAAAAACTTTTTTCCAATAAAATTAAAACATATGAATTTTTTTATAGATTGTTTGTTCAATTATAAATTATTGTTATTAATATTATTAATATATTAAAATTTATTTATCTTAATTTAATTGAATAAAAACATATTAAGTATATAAGATTAAATATCTAAATTTTACTTATAACTTTTTTACCATTTGCATTATACAAATTACTTTTAACTAGTTTTTAATCTTTATGATATATCAGATCCGAGGAAATATGTAAAAGTAGGGATGGATATAAAAATGAATTCTGTATTTTGCAATTTGGTCATGCCATGTAAAACATTTTGGCTCCGACATATGTATAATAATAAACAAAAACAATTGGAGATTTTTTTTTTTGGTTTCTCAAATCAAATATACAAAATTTGAATCATCAAATAATATACTGATGTAAAAACTTTAAATTGATGAGAAATATCGATGGTGTACCAGAAACGGAAGTCCATAATATTATAAATTAATTGATTCCATATTGGGTTTCCATAATATTATAAATTAATTGATTTCGGTCTAAATTACTCCTTCCATTAAAAAATATAAAATATTTTTAATTAAATCTCATTTTTTAATAAAATAATTAATTGTTTTAAAATTAATTCTATCTTTTTATATTTATTTTTATTTAATAAGATATTTTATTTTAAAATAAATATAAAATAATTCATTCGATAAGGACACCTTAAAAAAATAATAATTATATTTTAAAAGATTAATTTTTTAATATAAAATCTTTTAAAAAATATTTTACATTAAATATTTTATAACAAGTATCACATCAATTTCTTGTAAAAGTAAATAAAGATCAAACTAGTGTTTTAAGACCCAAGTACAAAAGGGACTCATTGTGGGGATTGACTTGATTTGAACCGCTGTTTCTTTTTACTCTAGCTTCACTCTTGCTTTAGTAGTATGAATTTTTATTTAATTTAAAAAGATCAATATCAACTTTTTGAAGTGTTCCAGCAAAATTTTGAGTATATGATTTGTTTATTGGTATAATAAAAATTAAACTTCAGAGAATTAAAACTCACTTACTGAGAGATGAAATTTTCCCAATAGCTCTTCCATGAAATTTCAATAATTGAAAGTTTGTCTTTAAAATTAATGGCTTAACATAAACTATGAATCATCCCTAACAAATTATGAATCATCAAATTACCGTAACATAATTTACTCGCAGCACACCATGTTCTACAGAGCCGAAGGTCAAAATCAACATCTGCCGAATGACACTGTTTTCAAGTTAAAGTTAGGGAGAATTACTAAAAAGTCACAGAAGAAATGAAAGTTTGATTAAGTATCATGAAATGCTAAAATATCCTTAAAATCCCAAGTTCCTTTAATATGAATATATTTTTAATACTCAATTACTCAAATATCCTTATATTATTATATATTAAAAAAGCCCAACCCTCCACTGCTGGCCAGGTTTGGCTTTTAATATTATTTTTAATATATAATAATATAAGGATATTTGGGTAATTGAGTGTAAAAACATATTAATATCAAAGGGACTTGAGAATTTAATGATATTTTAACATACCGTGGGACTTTATAGTATTTTCATTTTGTTGAGACTTTATAGTAATTCTCCTTTGAAGTTATTACACATGATATATCAGAGCCTTCACATTCAAATAAATTGATGCAAACTAAAATGCTTGAATGAGCTCCTGACTAGCTCTTTACATATCATTGGGTAAAGACAATACACCATTTTACCATGAAACTAAGATCTTTTTGTATTTGAGTTAATGGAGAAGTAGAAAACAAAAATGTGGATGCACTACAACAATTAAACCACAAAAGAAGCAGCAGATAATGCAATTTCAAGTGTCTTTTTCAGCTCCTCGTCGTCTTGTGGAACTCAACTACAGAACCAACACAAATCTAGTCCATAATTAGGTCTCAAGGGGTCAATTAATTAGTCACCCAAACAAATCATCATCATTGTCTCCATCAACACTACTAAGATTACTTTCAGGTTTTCCACTCAAGGTATTACCTTCCCCAACCTTACCTGGAGGAGTTCCTTCACCAGTACTGACAGATGAGTAGGCCCAGGAAGATCCAACTTTGGCAGAAAATGATTCTCCATAAAGATCATCATAAATCCCACCTTTCTGTGTAGTTTTGACCTTTTTTAAGACTTCTTGTAGTTTATCAGTCACTCCTTTCTGGGATGAATCAGCTTCCTTTACAACAGATTGCTCTTTTCCCTTAGGTATTACTGTGATCTGTACAAGGGATTCATATTTCCCAACAAGACTTCCTTCTTTAACTCCGACTGGACCGGGTTCTGTTTCCACGTCTGCACCATCTGAAACCCCAACAACCTCGACTAATTCTCCCCCTACTTGGTCCCTGAAGGCGACTCTCATCTTTCTAATTCTCTTGGAAGCTCGGTCTGATTGGTGATTGTCATTTTTTCTAGTCGCGGATTTACCAGACTCAACTGTTCTAGACCCTTGATCAGCCTTGCCAAGGCCGTAACGATTTAGAAGTGTGTTGTATGCAACCACAGCTTCTTCATCAGAAGGGTCAGGAGGTGGAGGTAAATTAATCTCCGCGGGCACTGGAGGACGAGGAAACAAAGCTGCATCATTCTTTCTCAACATGTAAGTTCTTGTCGACGCAGCAAATCGCAGAGACTGTCCCACTTCAAGCTCAACCGGTGAATCCTTAGTTAATCGCTCATTAGCAACAAATGTACCATGAGCAGATCCTAAATCAATTACATATATGCTGGAGGAGGAGTAAAAAGTTCTTTAGTGCCATATGGATCATGAGATCAAATTACACAACTTCAATTACATTTTAAAACACACACACACACACATCCATCTACCATTCTGCCTCTTTCATTTTATCAAATGATAGTGGGTTATTTTCCCTTGGAAGGGGGGAGTGGCTCAACAGATCATCAACTACTTAATCCTATTATTCTAAACGGAAAAAAAATGCAATTATATCAAACTACTGCTTTAATTCCTAAGTTGATCTTAGGCCCTAGGCATGATCAGAACACCAATTCAACAACAACACAAGTTGCTGTGATTCATTTATATAAACAGCTGACCAAAGAAAGCTCGCATGTTCCAATTATAAGAATACTCAACAAGGAAACTGATAGGGGTTATTATCTACCAAGATAGTTTAATCCAATCCAGCAATACCAAGGATGAGCAAAATGCACTAACCTTCCATTCTTGTGAGGAATGACTGCAGCATGTTGACGAGAGACAGATTGATGATCAAGCACAAAATCACAAGTTTGGATTTGCCTCCCAAAGATGTGCCTCCGCCTGTCCAGATTAATTCGATCCAATACCTGGCCATCCTTCAAAACTTCTAGATAATAAACACCTGGACGAGGCTCAATTGCCCAATCTGGGGGCTGCCATGTTGATTGTCCTCCACCAACTTGTGTTGCCTGCTGAGTCTGCCCCAACAATGGAGCAGCTTCTAACCCTGTGGCTCCATGAGAAGCATGATGTTGTACCTGTTGTGCCTGTTGTTGATACTGGACTTGATGGAAAGAAGTTTGAGACTGTGAAGGTAAAGCAGAGGAGTGGCTGATTACTTGAGTGCCAGCTTGAGCACTGGGTTTTGAAGATGAATTCGCTGAAACAGAAAATGGTTCCAAGCTTTGAGCTTTCTTAAATCTATCAAGACCTGCTGCTCTTCCATACATTCTTTACAAGTCCACAGCTAATCTTTGAGCTCCTACAGTATCATCTATCAAATAATCTCCATCAGACACAATGACATTAAAAAAAAAAAAAAGCTCTGTAATCGATTGTTTGCTCCACGTACAGTTCATGTAACAGAACTCTCTTTAGAGATGCCCCCCTAATTTAAAAGGAAGGGCGGCACTCAAAACAGCTTCAGGTCATACAGGGAATAAAGAAAATGCGAGGAAAATAAAAAATGGAATTTTTTTAATTAAAAAGGGGTAATCAATAAAAAACAAAACAAAATAAAATTGATTCACTTAAGCAGCAAAATCAGCACACTAATTTAATGGATGCCAATAGACCAATTAAAGTCTAATCTCTATGCCAGAATTCTGAATATTCGAAACTCCAGAAAGAGAAAGGCTTTAGAGTTGAGAAATGGTGTGGGAATCAAGTCACTCTAACCAAAAAGAGCATAATTTCTTAGACTGATAGATAAAAAGGAGGTTCAAGATTCAAACAAATTAGGGTTTCAGAAAAATGGGTCCATGCAGTCTTTAGAAAGGAAATTGAGAAGCATCAATGGTAATAAGGTTGGAAGCCAAGGTAGCGGCAATGCCAAGACTATGAGGTGTTTCCGTCTCTCCAAGATGGGTAGGGCAAAGCAAAGGGCTCCCTTTCTCTCTCCAAGAAAACTACAAAATATGATTTTATTTTATTTTTTCTTAAGTGAAGAAATATAGTTTTTTTTTTCCTAAAAAAAAAATAAAAATTTCCCATCTTATTTTTTATTTAGATCATCAATTCTATCCATAGAACAATCTTTTTCCTCAATTCATTGGATTTCATTTCTACGAAACAGAAATTTGAGCAAGGAAACTAAGCCCAAAGGATTTATTATCAATTAAGCCAAGGTCATGCAATTATTATATAGGTTTCAAGATACATTTATCAGATTAATTACACTAAGTAGATTAAATCAATGTTTGCTACTGGGAACGTCATGTGCATTTCACTTCTGATAATGTAACATACATTTACTTAAGCATCTACTGAACCCACAAGACCGATGCTGCAGAGGAGCTAAATGATGAGACTTTTGAAGAAGTTATGCGAAAAATGCAATCAATAGACAATGGGAGTGAAATTCCCAGCAATATACCAGGAGTGCTTATAGATCAATTATATATCATAGCAACAGAAGACCTAAACACATTACTTTTTTCACCTGATTGGGTGATTCACATTTCCCCAAGTCATTGGCAGATTTACAGGGTACCAAATAATTGCAAATTACAAATAGGGCCTTGGAAGTTCGAGAATGATGGAACCAAAACCTCATTAAATCGATCACTTACTTATTTCATACTTGTTTCAAGGCTGCCACTACATTAATTAAAGCTGTCAAGCCCCATCCCGATGAGGAACAAACATATCTAAAAGCTGGTTGAAAGAATTTTGCTATTTTTGCCAGCGTTAGTACCCTAGAAGTTATCTACAAGAACACCTTTAGGAAAGAATTACTCAACATAACTACTCCTGGGCCTGGCCCAGAGTTACTATCAGATAGACATTGTTCACACCTCTTGATATCACGGTGATTGAGCTTTTTGCAGAGTGCCTTGATGAAAGGAAAGATAGAAAATGGGGCTCGTGAAGGGATGAAGGAAAGCTGCAATCAGTATGCTATAGATTGTTATGTGAATGTTAAAGCTGTTAATCAAAAGGACCTTGGTTCCAAATTCCAATAAGGAACACATCTTGGCAATGGCATCACTGCAATTAGAAAAACAATCAAATTGGGAGTTGGCAGTGCATTATTTTGCAAATTTCACTGCTGTGACAGCAGCTAAAATTGGACATCTGGACTATATGTTCCTGTCTACATTTGGATGGCTACACCTAGAATAATTCAAGGGCTCTAGCCTCTAGGTTCTTGGGTTTGACTTGCCAGACCACTAATTTTGGAACTACCTAGATTTTATTAACTATTCATCTCGATGTGGGATCGCAACTGCTATATATTTTTTATAAATATCAATCAAACAACATGAAGGAAGCTCGCCAAAGAGTAAAACACATTAACTCAGCACAACTTTCTAATCCTTATGTCATTCTGTCAAAAATAAACAGGCCCTTTAGAAACTATGATCAAGGCTCATGCTCATTGTGAAGCATTCATGCCACTTGACAGCCTAATTAGACTCTCCAGAAAACTACACCACACCCTTGCAAATGGAAATTATTTTCCAAGAGAAGAACCTATTTTGTGAAGCAAGAACTTCAAATTATCCAAGCAAGACTACTGTTCTTCAAATATAGCAAAATAATTAGTCTCTTGAAAACTCAAAGCAACATTTGGGATCTAGTACCTCACTTATGAGCTTGATACAATTCCTTTGGGTGAATCCTACCCAGTAGAAGGTAGAGTCAAAGATCAAATCAAAGTCAGGCTTAGAAATTTCAAGAAGCCTTCAATCCCCCCCCCCAAAAAAAAAACAAAAACAAAAATTATGTAGTGCTTTCAAGTCTTTCTTTTTTGATGATTCGACTTTCTTCCATCTTCTTGATCAAGTGATTCCTTTAAGGGGACAGCTAACGCCTTCAATTTTGTGCCTAGTGCTTCTCTACTTGACTCAGTGGCTTTACTTTTTATTTATGTTTTACTTATTTTGATATTTTTTCACTCCAATATTAGGTAGTGATCATGGAATTAAAGCACAAGGACATGATAGGCCACTAATTATTGCCTTGATTGAAGAAAGCAATATAGTTTCTGTCAATTCAAGCAAAATCTCATATCCATACAGTGCTTTTTCTTTCAATGGGAAAACTAGAACCAGCTCCATCAAATTTCAAAACTCTAATCGTATATAGAATGGTTAATGTATTATGTTGTTATTCAGAAACCCATTGGTTGTGCTTACAAATTAAGACTTAGACTTAGACTTGTATGTCATTGTCCCCCTTAGTTTATAAAAATCACCTATGCTTGCAGAAGTATCTGAATTTGATGCGATAGATGACTCCCTGCTGAATGTGGAAATATTTTTATTTTGATAGACCTTTTGATGAAACGCCGTATCTAGTACAAGCTAAAATCAATTTTCTGAAAGTAAACATCTCAGACCTCGCTAGTATATGGGTTCCTCTTGAAGGAAAGTTTGCTTTGGCAAGTCAATCAAAATAGCACAAAAGAATTTTCTTGAAACACAAGAGGTGGTAGTGTTATAAACAATATCTAAGTAAAATGGAGAAAGAAGTGGGAAGAAGGTATGTAATTATGTGCGTAACTTTATACATGTGACAACCATCTGTTTATCTTTCTATATTCACAATGTTCGTTTTGGCTTATCATTTCCTTTCGAAAAAGTTGTATAATAATTTGTGATCTCAGACAAATTCAACCTTTCAGAAACTCTTCGGGCTTCCACATGAAGTACCACTTATCAAAGATTTCGCCTGCTAGTTGAGAAGAAAAGTGCCCATGCACGTTTGTTTATTAGTTCATTTGAATTTCGAAGTTAAAATTCACGTCTTACCTTAGAGGAAATTAATAACGGTTACAAACTTGTATCATTGTATGTCTATTCAACTCTAGTCCTTGAAATAAGAAAATAAAGAAATTAATCCTTAAAAATAACAATCTTATTACAAGTTAGTAATGTGGACATCCCTAAGTCTCTTGATAAAAGCATTTATGTACAATGAGTTTGTTTATTTTTAATGACTATTGTTTTATTCAGGGCCGGCTTTTTCTTTCAGCAAGAATTAGGATCAGTGCACCTTAAAAACACTAAATGGACAACTATGTTCAGCCGTAGCTCAATAGATTATGTATTCTATCTTGAAAGTCACATACATATCAGATACAAATCCGTACAAGCTTCCTTTTAAAGTATCGTTGTTTCATGAATTTTATGATAGCTTAGGCATATATAGGTTCTCCTTGAAATAAAACAAACTTGCTCAATTATCTGAACATTATCCTTTAAAAAAACAACTTAATTATCTTTACATTTATATAATTTTCCCAGAAGCGATCTAGCTAAGAATTTTGGCAGCCAAACGCATTGAAAACACGAACAAGAATAAAAAGGAAAGGAAACAACTTCATAGAGTGCTCCACAAAAAACACTGAAGCACCATTGTGACTGCACCCACACATTACCAGTCTACTGCTACTGTTGCCTTACAAACAAATTCAGAGACAAAGAAAGCAACCACGAACGAGGAAGAAAATGAGAGAAGAGAAAGGGGTTACCACCACGGAGCCGACGACGGAGGCAACACGAACAACAAGGGAGGTAGTCTTAAACAAGTGACGACGGAGGCAGCGAGATTGCGGGTGACGGGTAGAGTAAGGATGAGGGAGCAGCGAAGCTCAAGGCAGTTGATGGATGAAGCTGGAAATGGAGACACGGCGTCGATAGAGGACGAAGGAAAAAACGGCGACGACAGAGGGATGGGGAGAAAGTGATCGGAGCTAAGAATGGCCGATTGGGTCAGCCAATCGTGGGGAGATGGGGGTTAGGGATTTGAGACTTTGTCATTCTAAGCCACGTCCCCCAAAATGGAAGAGAATCCTGTTTAGGTATTGAACCGGGTATTTTAGGTTTCAGTGTTCATCATCTTACACAGATCAGTGATACGGCGCCGTTTTGTGTGTGTGTGTGTGTGTGTATTTTCCCTTTATTTTTAAAGCACAAAGTCAGCTTAATAAAATTGGAAAATAATATCTTAGCAAATTCGTCAAAACTCAAAGAGTGAAAGATATCACCTTTTTTTTTTAAATTAGAGGGACAACCACTAACAACTTAAAGTTACAATTACAAGCAAGATCAAATTATTAGAGAAACTCACATATTATTCTCTAGTCCTATTAACAAGATAGAGAAAAAAAATTGATCCTATTTATAAGGCATTTGTTAATTTTTAGTACTCATTTTTATATTTTTTTCTTATTAAATATTTTAAATAAGAACATTAGTAATGATATTTAAAAATATTTATTAAAGATAAAAATAAAAACTTGTTAAAATTAATGAAATTTAAAATTTTTTTTAATTTTGATGAAAAATGATAAAAATAATTTATAAATAAAACTAAATGCAATACTAGGTTAGCAGGCAAGATAGATGATGTCACTTTGAAAGCTGGCTTCCTTCAAGCCTATTAATCTAGGAAGTTTTATATATATAGCTAGATTAGAACATAGCTCAACATAAGTGACCATAATAACAAATGCTGTCACTTCAAGATATGGTTGAGTTTTGCGATAAGAAAAGGATTTGATTCAATGTTTTAAAAATAAATAGAAGCCAATTAGACTAACAATTAATTGTCCTCAAATTTCTCATTTACATTTTTGCTGATAATCTATTACTTTTTGCAAAAGCATCCCTCAGTCAAGCCATGATTATTTAACAATATCTCTTTGATTTTTGCCACACTTTAAGCCAAAAAGTCAACATGAAGAAATGTAAATGTCAATGTTAATAAAGCTATTCAAATCAATGATGAATTGAGAATTCCAATCATTGAAAACTTTAATAAATATTTTGGAATTTCACTTATACATGAAGTGGCTTCTAAGCTTACTTTTGCTCCCTTACTTGAGAAAACTTGCTTTCATCTTACTAATTGGAGAAGCCATTGTCTTAACAACACAGGAAAAGCTATCTTTATTAATTATGTCCTTTTGGCTATCCTTAGCTACACCATGCAAACCATACTACTTCTTAACAATGTTTTGGCTAAATTGGAAAAAGCTTTAGAAACTTTCTTTGGGACACTCCTAATGATCACAAAAACCTATTTTCTTTCTTGGGATCATGTTGCCAAGGAGAAAACTAATGGGGCCTTAGGATTAAAAATCTTGAGTCTCAAAATATTGCTTATATCATGGAATTTTGTTGGGGTTTTATCACTTAGCTAAATCGCCTATGGGTTAGGATCCTTCAAAACGAATATAAATGTCTTACCCTATTATTCCCATAGTCTACAAACCTAGATCCTCCTCTTACACTTGGAATAGTATAAGCAAATTTTGGGACAAATTCATGAAGCATGTAGTTTGGAAAGTTGGTAAAAGAGACCAAATTTCTTTCTGTTGGTACAATAAATGGTCCCCCCTTCCAGAACCTCTTAGAAGATACACTTTCCCTAGTGCTAAATCTATCCTTAATGCAATAGTTTTGGATCTCCACAATCCCTTAGGAGGATTGAATTTTAACCAACTAAATTGCCGCCTTCACCCTGAGGTGATAAGGCATATTGTGCTTGTGCAACTATCAAACCCCCATGGTGATGAAGATGTTTTTGTTTGGAGACCTTCCTCTAATGAAAATTTCTCTATTAAATTTGCTTATAAGGCTTTAGTTTCTCAAAAGGACCAAACCATTACTGACATTTGGTCGATAATTTGAAAGTGACCTACTTATAAAAAAATTAAATACTTTCTTTGAAAGGCTATGTGAGACATACTTTGATTCAATTATATAAATTTTGAAGGATGTGCCTATCTCCAATGTACCTGTTTTTTAGGTGTAACTCACTTGAGTCTTCAATTCACACTCTTTTAGATTGCAAAGAAGCTCACAATATTTGTCTCAAACTTGTTAAACCTTTTAAACTTAATACTTTCTTCTCTCTTTCCATGTAGGATTGGATGACTTGGAATGTAAAAATTGAGGCCAGCAACCTAAACGTAAGAAGAATTTCTTAGCAGAGGCTTTTTGCTAAAGTCTACTTGAACATTTGGAAGGCATGATACAAAAAGATTTATTCAAAAGAAATCAACCAGAGCATCAACATTGCTTTTACTAGCACTCAGCAAGTTATCAATGACATAAGGCTCCAATCAAAAGACAATATCCTTAGCTATAATGGTAAAAGATCTGAAGTTCAATGGAGACCTCCAAAAGCAGGTTGCTAGATCCATCTTGACATTGACAGGTTTGTTAGATCTAATGGAGTTACATCCTATGGTGGCATCATAAGGGATAACAAAGGCAATTGGATTAAGAGATTTTCTAGATTTCTTAGCTACCAACCTAGCATTGTGGTTGAACTCTTAGGCATCTTAGAAGGACTTCAGCTTTGTTGGAACACGAGATTTGCTAAAATCAATATACCTTCCAATTTTATGGAAGCTCTTTCACTTATTCAACATAATATCTCTGATAATCATCATTTTTTAGATAATATCAAGAGAGTTAGACATTTTTTCATGAAAGACTAGATTTTTACCTTTGATTATATGTTCAAGAAAGTGAATATATGTGCTAACATACTTGCTCATTAAGCCTCTCAAGATAATTTAGATATTGTTATTTTTAATCATCCGCCTTTAAGTTGCAGACCTCTCATGAAATATGACATAACCTAATTTCTGTTCTACTCAACATGGATTTTATGTGGTCTTGTATTAAAAAACATTTGAGGGTGTAAGCATGTGCTGCGTCTAAAATATTTATCTTCTCCATGAATATGCAAAATCTGATATAAATGAGAAGTCCATACAATTGTTGTTATCAATCTTGGGTATTATCCAAAAAATTTACCTTTGTGGTATGCTAGTGATCATATGCCAAACCAAACTATTTACCAAATAACTGGAGACTTCTAAAGATCAATTATTTTTAGTCTTTAACTCACAAAACCAAGGTCTGATAGCTTACGAAGGCATACAGGAAAGCATACTAGCAAAAATATGAGATGAAGACTTCAGTTTGGAAAAAAAAAATTCAAATTTTGTTTGGATAAGTATTTTGGATTTAATTATTTTTAAAACTGTTTTAATATTTTGTTTTAAAAATAAAAAATGGAAACATTTTAAAATTATTTTTATTTTATTTTTCTTGTTTTTAAAACATACTACATTTAATTATTGGAAATTCTTGTTAGCATGACTATTTTCTATCATAAATTATTACTATTAACCATTTATAACTTCTACTATCAGACTATTTTTTAATTTTAAAATTATTTTTAAATTAACATACTCAAATGGATTTTCATTTTGTTTTATTTAAAAAATAATATTATTAAAACTGTATTACAAAACAGTTTTTAAAAAATGAACAAAGACTAAACAGGTCCTAAAATAATTTATTTTGGGCTTAAACCAAGTGAAGACAAACATAAAGTGACAAATTACACGTTTTATTCTCAAAGAATGCAAGATGACATACATTTTATATTTTATTCAACAAAAACACAAAATGACTCATTGAATCAAACAAAAACACCCGCGCAATCTATCTAACGTTTTATTTCTGATCATAGTGCTGTTTAGTGTAAAGCCAAAGGTAAGTTTTTATGTCACACATCATTTGGCAAAGAATAGGGGTGGAGTCAAAATTTAAGAATAAGAAGGGCCAAGATTAAAAAATATATATACTACAAAGTTTTCATAAATTTTAGAAGGGTTGAAAGTTTGTAATACCTATATAATATAAAGAAAATTTTAAAAAAATTGGGAGGGCCACAGTCTTTGCTGGTCCTCCCCTCCCTCTGCTACTAGCAAAGAAGTAAACCCTTGTATATATGTTAGTTGCTCATATTGGCAAAGGATCCACAAAGAGTTGTGTAATGTACTCCTTCATGGTTCCTACGGAATGAGTGTAATTATCAGCATCCTTGTACATCACATCCATGAAACGAGCAAGATTCAGAACTATCATAAGAAAAGGCATAGGTACCTGAGTTGGTCTCAGACATTCCTCATTGATATCCTTCCATGCACTCTTAATCATCTTCCTCAATTCATCTATGGCTTCTTGTCTTGACATTCCATGCTCCTTCATCTAGCATTCCACAAATGAGGCAATGTGCCCTCTTTTCTTCTCAAACTGGACAATCACAGAGAGTTTTAAGAGAAAGTTAAATAACAAGGAAAGAAACATTGGGCATGTTTAATTACCTGTTTCAGAATTGTTTTTTTGTTCTGAAAAGAAAAAACTATTTGAAAATGTGTAACTGTTATCTTCTTTTAAAAAAAAATAAAAGTTATGAAGAACGAAAAACCATAACATCTTTTAGATATCTTTTAGATTTTTTTTAAAATTTTTTTGTTCTGCTAAACTAGAGAAAATACACAAAATATCATGCTTTCATTATTGACAATTATGTTAATAAAATTAATTATTCTTTCACCCTTTATTTTACTAAGTTAGATATGTTTTTCAAAATAATGATTCAAATTTTTTTTTCTTTTGTTTGGGTTTCTAAAACTTGTTCTGAAAAACTATTCTACAAGTATGTTTTAATTTAAAACATAAAAACAGAAAAGAGAACCAAATAAACCCATTTTTAAAAAAATATAACTTTTAGTCCATGAACTTATTTCCATTATCAATTCAACCTCTGAATTTTTACTTGGAATAGCTCAATCCATATACTTTCTTAACTTGAAAGAATTAAATCCTTATAGTTTTATGATTTAGTAAAAACTCGATCCCTATAATTTCTCAACTCAATAGTCAAACTACAAGGGTTAATGAGTTGTACTGGACTAAGTCAAATTTCAAAGGTTAAATTAATAATTGAGCTAAAGTTTAAGAAATAAAAATTATATT